TTTACGTTGTATGGGGCTGCCCACAGGCTACTAGTACTACAGTATCTGCCAAATGATTACATGCCTGTCAAAAATGCATGCAAAAGCACAAATATGCTTCAACTTCTTTAACTTACATCCTGTTTCTGCTAAATTTCCGATGAACCTAGAACATATCATTCTTACAAATTGTATGTTTTTTGTTTTGGGAATTGCTAATTTTTGGCAGTAAATTACATCACAAACTTGGCACCAAAAAGTCAAAAATATTAAAATATTAAGCCATTGGTGATTTCATGAATTCATTTAGAAGAGAAGACTGGGATCTGTTTCTAAAAACGACCATTTTTGCGAAGATACAGCGATATGTTGAAAAATTTGCCATATTGTTACTAAAAAAAGAACAAAATGGCGTACTTTTTTAGAAACTCATTATACTTATCTTCGGGAGAAATGGTTGTATTTTGAAAATGATTTCAGTTTTAAGATACCCTTAGTCTGCTCTACTAAATGGATAAATGAAATCATGTATTAATAGCTTATTTAGCGCCAAGTTTGTGACGTAATTTTACCCGCCAAAAAGTAGCAATTCCAAAAACAAAAAACATACGATTTGTAAGAATGATATGTTCTATGTTAATGCAAAATTTAGAAGAAACAGGATGAAAATTAAAGAAGTCTGAATACTTTCTCCTTGACCAATAAATTGTATATAGGTGAGGCTAAACAAATTAGGGGATCTGGGAGAAAATTTGACATGCAGAAACTATGTCATTTTTTCAAGCAGTGAAGAATCTGATATTGATTCTCCCACTTTGATCTTTTATTTGGGGGGGAGGGGGGGTTAGCCCCACACTTCTATTTTTAGGGGGCTATAGCCCCTCACTCAGACTCGATCAGGTAGCCTCTACTGGTTCTGCTACTTATGGTATCAGAAGAAAATCGTAAATAAAGTAAATGTTTATGGTTTACAAACCCACTGCATACCGTGGTTGTGCCAGATTGTTGTGATTCCTTATCTGTTATATTCCATCTGACAATCAACCTCTCAATAACAATATGTGCTGAAAGAACTCCGAATAGCCACAATCTTGCGGCTGCTGTCCTCGGGGCACTGGTTATGATATAACATGCCAAGATTGACACCAGGTAAAACCCTAATGAATGTAGGGTCATGAACTCTCCCAGAAGCATGGACTGAAGTTTGGTTATTCTATCGACACCCTTAAACAGACTATCAAAGGTCTCCATCAGCACAGCTTTCTGCTGGGCAGTTGCTTTCTTCATATCCAAAAATGCCTCCTTTGCACTTTCTGCTGATGTTTTTAAAGCGCTTTTCAGGTAGGCTTCGTTCTTCAGAATTTCTCCTTGATTGGACAGGGAACTCTCTTGACCTTCCAAGACCTTTTGTTGATTGGTCAAGGAAACTTCTAATTGATTAGCGACCACGTTTGAAGTGCTTGATAGTTTGTTGATAGTATCCTCGGTTTTCTGCTGCCAAACTTTACTCTGAAGGTAAAAACAAATATCCGAAGTGTGTGTATAGAATTCTGTATAAGTGTTGAACGCCAATACGCTTTTGGCCATGTCTCTTGTACACTCTTCGATTGAATCGTTTTCGCTACACGGATATTTCCTTAGCCCAGACTTCTCAAAATGACAATTGGCGAAGGCAATCGCGAGTCGACTTTGCTCGACGTCTGTGAGATGTTTACAGCCAACCCGAAGCCGAGAAATCGCTTCTTCCCAACACTCGCTGTGGTCGGCACGCGAGCGAATTCTTTGAAATTCTTGTTCGCCATTTTGTAAACGTTGTCGCTGATCGGACGAGTGATCGAAGGGCAATTCGACGTTGTTTCCATGCACGAGAGTTTCGAGCAAGGCGAAAATCGCCAAGGTAATTAGTACAAACGATAGAGACCCGCAAGTCATGTTGGTTTATTTCCATACTGACAATGTGCATTATCACATCAATTTATGTTGTGTCATTAGTTGTGTCACGACCTATGGTCACGACTCGTGAATGTTACCTGCCCTCTTGCGATTCACCAAAATTCCTTCTGGGAGGAAATAGTCAACCTGATACTCAGGGTTTTCACGCGGAAGTGAAAACCCTGAGTATCAGGTTGGGAACTTAGTCTAGGACCTGTATATGAGTTTGTATGCGATTCATTTAGGACAGGTAATCTCAACTGTTTTAGGGTAAAATGACCATGGCGGTCAACATGGCATATGTGCCAAAACCTGAATCCGGGACGAAAGTCCTGAAAATGACCCCGTCCTGAAACGGCAGTGTCGACATAGCTCTAACTTCCAAAAAGGAAAAGCGATAGCCTTTCTGAAGTGCTTATAGTGTTTAGAAGGGTTGCTTTTAGGGGTGGTCATTGGAAGGAAAAATTTGTCGAAGTATAATATTTTACCAGAAAATGACTATGCACCACCCCAGGTAAATTGCTGATTATGCACAAAATAACTAATATGCCTGGCAGAAATTAAATATTCTTATTTCCTAAAAAAAAATTATCATGGGGTGAAAAACTATGCTTAATTTAATATAAATATTGTTGATTTCATAAGGATTGTCATTGTTTTCTTTAAATATAATACATTTTATTTCACTTACCCCCCACGAAAACACGATTTCAGCCATATTTTGCCGTCTTGTTTGCTTTTTATCGCCGAATCTCGCAAATATCATCCAGTTATTGTACTTTTACATAATCATAAATGGCTGAAGAAGATTTCAAAGAAGGTTTCATCCACTTTTGTAACAGTGCAGTGTATTTTACCTTCGATATTGTGTCCTTCGATATTCCGCCAAATTGCCGCCATTTTAATGGCTCGCCGCTTCTCTGTCTGATAAATGCAACTTCTTCGTTTCCATATGTATTTAGATTACAGTATCCAAGAGTACTTCATTGTAGAATAGTCCCAATCCAAAAATTGGCAATATTTGTCCCATTAGGAAGGAAAAATCCTCCCGTATACCATTTAGGTTCAAAATAAAAAACAAATCATTTGAAAGTCACGCGCAATCTTCGGGAAAACTTCTCGTGGACACATGACAGGGGGGGTAGAATATTTTCACGAATATGTTTTCCACCACAGAAACATAACTAAATATATTGTATTTATTGTATTTTCATGATTTATGACAAAACTACGCAAATATTTATTGTTTTTATTATAAATCATAAAAATACAATAAATACAATATATTTAGTTATGTTTCTGTGGTGGAAAACATATTCGTGAAAATATTCTACCCCCCCTGTCATGTGTCCACGAGAAGTTTTCCCGAAGATTGCGCGTGACTTTCAAATGATTTGTTTTTTATTTTGAACCTAAATGGTATACGGGAGAATTTTTCCTTCCTAATGGGACAAATATTGCCAATTTTTGGATTGGGACTATTCTACAATGAAGTACTCTTGGATACTGTAATCTAAATACATATGGAAACGAAGAAGTTGCATTTATCAGACAGAGAAGCGGCGAGCCATTAAAATGGCGGCAATTTGGCGGAATATCGAAGGACACAATATCGAAGGTAAAATACACTGCACTGTTATAAAAGTGGATGAAACCTTCTTTGAAATCTTCTTCAGCCATTTATGATTATGTAAAATTACAATAACTGGATGATATTTGCGAGATTCGGCGATAAAAAGCAAACAAGACGGCAAAATATGGCTGAAATCGTGTTTTCGTGGGGGGTAAGTGAAATAAAATGTATTATATTTAAAGAAAACAATGACAATCCTTATGAAATCAACAATATTTATATTAAATTAAGCATAGTTTTACACCCCATGATAATTTTTTTTAGGAAATAAGAATATTTAATTTCTGCCAGGCATATTAGTTATTTTGTGCATAATTAGCAATTTACCTGGGGTGGTGCATAGTCATTTTCTGATAAAATATTATACTTCGACAAATTTTTCCTTCCAATGACCACCCCTAAAAGCAACCCTTCTAAACACTATAAGCAATTCAGAAAGGCTATCGCTTTTCCTTTGTGTAAGTTAGAGCTATGTCGACACTGCCGTTTCAGGGCGGGGTCATTTTCAGGACTTTCGTCCCGGATTCAGGTTTTGGCACATATGCCATGTTGACCGCCATGGTCATTTTACCCTAAAACAGTTGAGATTACCTGTCCTAAATGAATCGCATACAAACTCATATACAGGTCCTAGACTACCCGTGAAAACTGCAGTGTACTCAGTGTGAAATATGATATTGTATTTGTAATGCCTATTAATGGCGCAATAAGAAAAAAAACACCACCATTCGATTCAGCGTAAGAAATTGTACTTACGGATGCCAAATGTATTACTAAACAACAGTATTCTAGCGATTTATGGCCTTTGAAAATCAAGAGAAATTGTATTGACAAATCGCTGGCAGTATAGCCTGCGAACAGGCCCTGGGTTGCGGGCGGCGCGAAGAATAGAGGGCCTGCACGGAACTATAGGTTTTCTTGGTAGTGGCGTTCGTATAGAAACGCAGGCTTCTGATTGGCTTACACTCGTTGACAAAATTACTAAAAATAGCAAATGTCAACAACAGCATTTTGAAGAATTTGAACTTTGTTCATTTTAATATTATATGATTATAGGACTATCGAACAAATAAAACTAGAAATGGAAACCAAAAGCAACAGCAAAGCATCACAGCAAAAAAGTCTATCATAAATGACTTGAATCTATCGCTTAAATCCAATATACGAAACTATAACAGTATTCTGAACTTCGGGATTGACATCAGACTATAGTATAGTACATTTTGAGGTCGTCGTGGCTTCACGGATTATTCTCATTAGTGAGCAAGTCAGCAAGCGAAGGCATACAAAAGATACCCAAATATGTACGAATAATTATATTGTTGATCCTCGCTGGCATGTCATTTAGATAAATATATATCGTACATTAAACGTTGTACTATTTACTGTATATTAACTGCTGACAATTTCGTCGTCGATACGGCTTCCACTCAGGGTCTTAGCTAGAGGGCCGTGTTGGCCGTGTTATCGCGGCCAAAAGTGGAAAAACACGGCTAGATAAAATGAACGCGGCTTCATTATCTATATAAGGCCGTGTATGTTCATAAAATAAGGTCTTGCTACTTACAACAGACAGAAAAATCTACTGTAAAATCGGCAATTGATAAAACTAGAATAGTGAAGCGAATAGTGCGAATAGTGCGAATAGTCGACGAATAGTACGAATAGTCCGCGAATAGTCGACGAATAGTGCGAATAGTCCGCGAATAGTCGA